CCTGCGGTCAGGAGCTTGGACCTGTTAGGCACCTTGTGCTCCTGCCCTGTGCCGAAATCACCGAGGATCATCTTTTGTCAGGATTTGGGGGTTCTACCAAAATAAACTTCCAATGAAGTTTTTTGTGCTTTATATAACAAATGTTTTAGATTTCTCTCTCTCCCTCTCTCATCTATTATCTCTCTCACCTATTAATCATCTATATCAGACATGTCAAACACAATGCCCGGGGGCCGGATGCGGCCCGCAAAGTGGTTTCATGTGGCCCACGAAGCCACCCTGGAAACAGTGAGGGAGCCCGCTGTCTTGGCCCCAGCCGGCTGGGAGCCAATGTACAATTTTGTGGTGGCCATCTTGGTACTTGCCCCAGTGGACCATGCCTTGGCACTTGCCCCCGTCCCACCCCCTTCTGCCAGAGACCCTCAGATCTGTCCCATTCCTGCCTAGACCCCCACAGGCACCCTTGACGCGACTGGTGTAGAATTAAGATACAGTAGGCCACACCCACTCCATGCACACCCACCCAGTAGGCCACACCCACTCTGGCCACACACCCCAGCCCCCCCCCCCCAAGCAACTGCAATGCTGATGCGGCCCTCAGTGAAATTGAGTTTGACACCCAATCTATATTTAATCTATCCAGTAACCTTTTCTGCTGTACCTTGGGGAAAAAATGCCATGGACTTACCTGGCTACAGGAGGGCAGCAGTCCCTGTTTTGCCCTCCTCAGTGCCCTATTAGAAATGAAATTTTAGCTTCTGCAATTATCTTTTGTATTCCCAGCAGCCTCTTCTGTGGCTGCTTTGAGCGTCCATCAAAGGAAGGAAATGAAAGAATAAAAATAAGCCACTTCAGGGCTTCTTTGCTAAACGTTACAGCACACACTGGCCACAAGAGGGCAGACTTTGCTGCTTTGACTAAACTCAGTTTTATACGTGTTTGCTTATTATGTATATTCCTTTATCAAAGGTGTACTCTGAGTGCCCCTAGGAGTCAGCAACCTGCGGCTCTGGAGCCGCATATGGCTCTTTGAGCCTTCCCCTGCGGCTCCCAGCCTCCTCTGCAGACAGAGAGAGAGGCACTTGTGCTTCCCCCCTCCTCTCTCTCTCTCTCTCTCTCTCTCTCTCTCTCTCTCTCTCTCTCTCTCTCTCTCTGTGTGTGTGTGTGTGTGTGTGTAAAAAAGAGAGTGGACTCACAGTGTTCTCCGACGAGCTAAAAAGCTTACTGGATGGCACTCCTCCTTTTGCTGCGTCTCTGCAGGAAGCAGGAAGGGCAGGAGAGAGCTAGCTAGCCCAGCTATGCTGACTCAGGAATTCTGGGAGTAGAAGTCCATGAGTCATAAAAGATGTTTTCGGTTGTAAATGGGTCCAAGTGGCTCTTCGAGTGTTTTGGGTTACCTACTCCTAGGACCTAAGAAAAAAGCACTGAGTTGTAGGAATCATAACAAATCACCAGAATTCTTGATCGGTTTAATTTCCTGCTTTTACCAGCTGGTCGTGGGGTGAAGAGAATCAAATCCTGCCACAAGACCTCCCAGTTGCTATTGGCACAGCCTTCTCAAAACAACACAACTCCATATTTTGAGCTGGAGCACAGGCTTGAACCAGAGGAGCCGGTCAAATTTCCCCCGAACCCTGAATTAACCACAAAACAACGGCTAAAAGGAGAATAGTTTCTCCTTTCTGTTATGTTTTTCCTTCTAAACAGTAGAAGAAAATACAGTGAGCAATTGCTTTGGGAGATCAACAATAACAACAATAGAGTGGAAGGTCTTGTAGTCCAGCAGGAAAGCCTATAGTACCACTTCAGACAAATGGTTGTCAAGTCTCTTCTTAAAAACCTGAGGCCCTACTCTTTCCTTGCCCAAAAGAGGGCAAAAAAGTCAGGCTTTCCCAAGATATGAAAGACTATGTTGTTATTTTAGGGGCAAAGTCATCAGAACGCAGCCTTAGGCAGGAATAGCAGCCACACAAGGAAATCAACCTTACCTGCCAACTTCCAGTCACACATGCGCAGTAGTCCTCCACTGTCTTACACACCGACCTCCCCGGGAGGGCCAACTTCCTGTCCGTTTCTGTGGCCGTCCTTCCACTTCCATTCAGAACGACCTTCTCGGCATGGCCGACTTCCTGTCCCTAAGCAGGCGGCTGGATGCCGGTACGAGAGACTAGGAGGCTGGGTCTCTTTGTGCCCTTTCCACTTCAGAGGGAGAAAAACAAGAGGCCAAATTGGGAACATAGAGATACAGTTCATATGTTGGAAACATAAATTTCAGGGATTCTTTCTCAGGCTTAGTTGCCCCATCTGCATTTGTAAAATGGCCCCTGGGCCCCGTTTTACAGCCGGAGAGGGCAAGACAGGTTCAGGGAACAGAACAGTCGGGATTTTGAGGTTATTCTTTTGCATCTGTATTATTAGAAGCCTTGATATTAATAATTATAGAGCAGAGGTTTTCAACCAGTGGTATGTGTACCACTTGTGGTACTTTGCCACATGGCCTGTAGACCGTGATTGCAAGTCAAGTGTAGTAGGGGATGGGAATGAGCCTATCGTGGCTTATTAATATTAATAAGGTTTTAATAATAAAGAATAATCATCATCTTAAAACGCCATTAAAGAGGTTTATTTATTTTTGTGGCTGCAGTATCTGATTTGACAGAGTTTTCTGTCCCTTGGCTATAGGATGGAGGCCATTAAAAAAAGCCTACCATTGACTCCAAGCTAAAGCTATGAGACGGGAAAGTGTGCCCTCTTCTGGTCAAAAACGGGTATTGTGGCCACCAAAAGAAATAAACCTTTTTAATGGCATTTTAAATTCTCTATCTTTATTAACAGTATTAACACCTTATTAATAGGGCCAGGGGAGGCCCGTTTGCTGCAACGCAGGCGCGGAAGAAGAAATCTGCTTCAAAAGCCTTAAATCTAGTTAAGGAGGACTATTATGCCCTATTAATATTAATAAGGTTTTAATAATAAAGAATAACCTTAAAATGCCATTGAAAATTTTTTTTTTAATTTTTATTTTTAACCAACAAAACAGAACAAAGCAAAATATAACACACATACACATACAATATATACTCCTTTTTTTTACAGCAATTACGTACCGGTAATCTAATATTTACATTTCCCCCTTATTCTTCTTTAGAATATTTGTCCTTATAGCCCCATTATTTCTTATTTACATTTTTCTTCCTACATGTTCTACTTCTTACTAAGAATAATTCATATTATTATACATTATTATAGACATATTTTCACTTTTGACCTTTATTTATTCTCCTCTATTGAAAAGTTTTTTAATGGCTCCTCTACCTGCTTCAATCACAGGATGGCACTGTTTTTTGACCCTTAATACCATTCAATAACTTCAATAGATCAATAATAATAATCTTAAAATCATATTAAAAGGATTTATTTCCTTTTGTGACTGCTATTCCTTCTTTAACCGTAAGACTCAATTCTTCCCAGAGGGCTTGACCGCTTTAGTCTCAATAAATAACTTCCCCTCTCCCAGGAAACAGGCGATGGGAGCATAAGGGGGCCTCCTGTGGACTTTCCTCACTGTTTTTAAATATCCCTAGGCTACACCCAACCTAAGCAAAGCAGCTACCAACAGAATAAGAGACGTGGAGTTCCAGCTAGAATTTAACAGAATCTCTCTCTGCAGCAAGAAAATGGATTAAATGGGGTATCTGAAAGACCTGAGCTTTCCTAAGAGAGGAACCCTACCTCCTGCTATTTCCCACCAAAACTGCAATATTTAGAGGAGCGGTGGTAATCGCAACCTCCCACCGTGTTTCCCACTGCCTCTTGCGGTTTTTACTGGGCTCCCAACCTTCCTCCAGTTCCATCCCGCTTTCAGAGTCATTTTAACACTAAGGGCAAAGCAATCAGAGAGGAGAGCAAGAAAAAAAATAAAAGAAAAAAAATGTGAACTTAAAGAAAAAAAAGAATACGAACAACAAACTAAAAAATAATGACAAAGAGCAAAGCAAAAAGAAAGGCAAAAAAAAAAATAAAACCCCAGAAAAAAAAAAAAAAAGAAAAAAAAGAAACGTAAAGAAAAAAAAGAGAAACCAAAGTGAAAAAAACGAAAGGAAAAATAAAACCCCAAATATTTTAAAAGCAAATCCTTATCTCGACTGAAGCTGCAAAAAAGGGGGGTAAAAATCCTCAAGAACAACTTATCTGTTTTCCCCCAGTTCCTTCTTAACAGCCACAGAAAGGGGGGGGGTCACCCATTTGGCAGAGGGAGCGTGACCTCCTTTCTCCACTGCCTTTTCCAAAAAGGCTGAAGCTTTCATCCGGCAGGCGTCCCCACCCTTCCTCCCCACCCTTCCTCCTGGCCGCTACATCAGTCGATGCAGCTGTGACTGGGGGAAGTTAGCAAAATTGCAAGTCTCTGCAAAGACCCGGGTCTCCTGCTTCCCCCAGAGAGACCTGCTTTACCTTTCTCTTACCTCTGGGCGGTGGGTGGGCTGTTTACGGCAACCTTGAGAGGAAAGGAAGAAATCTCCTACCCTTCCTAACCCTGACTTGTTTTGGACGAAGGTCTACAAAGTTAGATGGACGGCGAACAAAATAATAAAAGCCATTCATTAGTTGCGACTTCTCACGTCTCATCCCTTTTATCCATCCTTTAAATGATAAACCTAGAAGGGAACGATAGGTTATACACAGTTTCAAAATAAACTGCATTTATTTTTATATTGATCGTTTCTTAATAAAAATGCACACAATTTCAAATAGAGATTTGATATTGCGCCGAGATTAATACATAGGGATCTCTAAGAAATATAGTTTAGAAATATCAAACCTAAATACAAACCTACATAGGTATGATCTCCTTAAAGAAATAGCAGGGCAGGACAAACAACACTAGTCTTGAATAAAAATACCTGGATTTGCTTGAAGGGGGCGAGCGGGGTGCACTTTTTGGAGGAGCAACCTCTTTAAGATGTAACACAGGGAAGCGCGATACGACTGGTTCTTCTACATCCGGGACTCGGGCGCTGGGAAAACACCATTCAACGGCTGCCTTGCTTGGCAGCCTTCGAGGAGACCCCCGAGACGGGTCGGAACCCCCTTCCCGACCCGGATGCCAAAAGCCTGGAGCGTGTCCCGCCGGCCCCGCCTCTAAAAAGGAGCTAAAAAGAAGCCGCGGCTGAGCTCGCGTAAACCACCCCGAAGTGTGTTGTTAAAACAAGCTAACTTCGTCTCTACGTTCCCAATTTAGCCCCTATAGCTGAAAGGGAAAGAGAGCGCAAAGAGACCAGGTCTCGCAACCTCCGGCGCCGCCGCCGCCGCCACCGGTTCTCGGTCGCATTTTTACAGACACCGGCGGCGAAAGGCCAGGACCGGCCAGGCGGACATCTTAGGGGAGAGGACCAAACGAGTGGCCGGGGAGGAGGCGGGGGAGGGGGAAGGTGGGGATCCACCGCTAACTAGGTAACAGAGAAAGCCGGTATCTTTCTGGAATCAGGAAATGCGGGGATGGCTCGGCTCACCTGAGGCAGTAGCAGGCTTCCTTTTTTCATTCCTGAGGCCTCGCCGGTAGACGTGCGCTCCGTCAACGTAGTGCAGAAAAGAGCACGGGAAAAAGCAGGGAACGGACAGGAAGTTGAGGACGGCCTCGGCGGATGGACAGGAACTCGGCCGTACTGGGAACATCGTGGTCGTCCTCGATGGTCATGCTACGGGACGGAAAAGTGTGCCCTCCTGTGGTCAAAAACGGGTACTGCGGTCACCGAAAAAAATAAAGCTTTTAAATGGGATTTTAAGGCTATTTATTTTCCCCCGTCTTTATTAGTAGCCTCTTATTAATATTAATAGGGCGACGGGAGGCCCTTTTGCCATTTTCAAAGGTTTATTTCTTTTGGTGGCTGCTATCCCCGGCTTGGCCACGGGAGGGCACTGTTTTCCCTCCCTTAGCGATAGCGGCATTGAGGCCGTGGAAAAGGCCTACGCTGGTAAATGCTATGGGACGGGTATTGCGGCCGCCCAGGGAAATAAGCCTTTTGAATGGGGTTTTCAAGGCTTACCTCGTTGATCGGACGTGGAGTCCGCCCTGCCCAGAAGGTCCCCGAAAAAAAGGAAGTGGAAGGACGACTAAGAAGAACGGACCGGAAGTCGGCCATATTGGGAAGGTCGCAATTCAACGACCCTGGAGGACGGCGAATTTGCGCGGACAGGAAGTCGGACATGCTGAGGAGGTCTACCCGAAAGGAAGTAGGGGGAAAGACTAAGAACGAAGGAACGGAAGTCGGACATGATGGAAAGGTTCTTTTACCGCAGCACCTGGGGGAAGGCCGATACCGACGGGCAGGAAGCCCGCCGTCCAGAGAGGGCCTCTCGCAGATTACTCGTGAAGAACCAGCCGGCCGACATGCGCAGAAGGCCGAGGGAAGCGGCCCGTCCCTTTCGGAGGAGCATAGAGTGGCGACCCTTTGGCTGACGCTCTGCGCTTTGGGGCTTAGCTTCTCGGTGTCCCGATCCTGGGCAAGTGGCCTACGACGGCCTCCCTGGTAAGGCTATGGGACGGGAAACACTGCCCTCCTGTGGTCAAAAACGGGTACTGCTGCCGCCCAAAGAAATAAATACTTTTGAATAGCATTTGAAGCTTACTCTTCTCTATTTTTATTCTTAACGCCTTATGATTAACATTAACGTGGCGACGGGGGGGGGGCCCGGTCGGTGCCACACGGGCGCAGAAGAAATCCTGGTTCCAATCTTAAACCGAGTTAAGGCCTATTGTGGCTTATTCATATTAATAAGGTTTTAATAATCAAGAATAATCATCTTAAAGAGGTTTATTTATTTTTCTGGCCACAGTATCTGATTTGACCAGTTTTCCGTGCCTTAGCAGGGCTGGCTCAGGAATTCTGGGAGTTGAAGTCCACCAGTCATCAAAGAGCCAAGGTTGCCTACCCCTGCCTTGGCTATAGGATGGAGGCCATTAAAAAGGCTTAGGATGGACTCCAAGCCAAAGCTATGGGACAGAAAACTGTGCCCTCCTCTAGTCAAAAATGGGTATTGCGGCCACCCAAAGAAATAAACCTTTTTAATGGCATTTTAAAATGACCGTATTCTCTATCTTTATTAACGGTATTAACACCTTAGTAATAGACGAAGGCCTACCAAGTTAGATGGACGGCGAACAAATTAATAACTGCCATTAGTTGCAACTTCTCACGTCTCACCCCTTTTATCCATCCTTTAAATGATAAACCTATAAGGGAACGATAGGTTATATACTTTTTCAAAATAAACTACATTTATTTTTATATTGATCGTTTCGTAATAAAAATACACAATATTTCAAATAGATATTTGATATTGCGCTTATATTAATACATAGGTATCTCTAAGAAATATAGTTTAGAAACACCAAGCCCAAATACAAACCTACATACGTACGATCTCCTTAAAGAAAAAGAAGGGCAGGACAAACAAAACTATTCTTGAATAAAAACATCTGGGTTTGCTTGAAGGGGGCGAGCGGGGTGCACTTTTAGGAGCAACCTCTTAAGGTGTAACACAGGGAAGCGCGATACGACTGGATCATGGAAAAAGCTAGGGAGTTCCAGAAAAACATCTACTTCTGCTTCATTGACTATGCTAAAGCTTTTCATTGTGTGGATTGTGGCAAGTTCTTAAAGAGATGGGAATACCAGACCATCTTATTTGTCTCTTGAGAAACCTATATGCGGGTGAAGAAGCAACAGTGAGAACTGGACACGGAACCACTGATGGGTTCAAAATTGGAAAAGGAGTCCGGCAAGGCTGTATACTGTCGCCCTGCCTATTTAACTTATATGCAGAGCACATCGTGAGAAAGGCAGGGCTAGATGAAACACAAGTTGGAATTAAGATTGCCGGGAGAAATATCAACAACCTAAGATATGCAGATGATACCACTCTAAGGGCAGAAAGTGAAGAGGCACTAAGGAGCCTCTTGATGCGGGTGAAGAAGGAGAGTGCAAACGTTGGCTTGAAACTCAACATTAAGAAAACCAAAATCATGGCATCCGGACCACTCAATTCCTGGCAAATAGATGGGGAAGAAATGGAGGTGGTGACAGATTTTATTTTTCTAGGCTCCAAGATCACCTCAGATGGGGACTGCAGCCAAGAAATTAAAAGACGCTTGCTACTGGGAAGGAAAGCTATGGCAAATCTAGACAGCGTACTAAAAAGCAGAGACATCACCCTGCCAACAAAAGTGCGTATAGTCCAGGCCATGGTCTGCCCAGTTGCAATGTATGGCCGTGAAAGTTGGACCATAAGAAAGGCTGAGCGCCAAAGAATGGAGGCCTTCGAACTATGGTGTTGGAGAAGACTCTTGCGAGTCCCTTGGACTGCAAGGCGTTCAAACCGGTCAGTCCTAGAAGAGATCAACCCCGACTGCTCTTTAGAAGGCCAGATCCTGAAGTTGAAACTCAAATACTTTGGCCACCTAATGAGAAGGAAGGACTCACTGGAGAAGGGCCTAATGCTGGGAAAGATTGAGGCAATAGAAGAAGGGGACAACAGAGAAGGAGATGGCTGGATGGAGTCACTGAAGCAGTAGGTGTGAACTTAAATGGACTCCAGAAGATGGTAGAGGACAGGAGGAACATTGTCCACGCGGTCGCTATGGGTCAGACACGACTTCGCAATTAACAACAACAACAAAAGAAATAAACCTTTTTAATGGCATTTTAAAATGATGGTATTCTCTATCTTTATTAACGGTATTAACACCTTATTAATAGGGCCCATTGGAGGAAAATTCCACGTAGGGTCTCCTGCTTCAGCAGGCGGCTGGACTAGAAGACCTCCGAGGTCCCTTCCAGCTGCATTCTGACAGAATTTTCCTCCAATGGGATTTTCCCATGTATTTTACCAGGAAACATAGATAAGGCAGCCTAGAAAAGTCAGTGCCCTCCTAACCATACCCAAGCACTCAGAGTTTGTTGGCGATGTCCATTTTGCTCTAAGAGTTCACGGTGACGTAACCCTAACCCTAAGTGGAATTTTCCTCCAATGAGATTTTCCCATGTATTTTACCAGGAAACATACATAGGGCACCCTAGAAAGGTGAGTGACTCTCCTAAACATACCAAAGCACTCCTAGTTTGTTGGCGATGCCATTTTGACCCTAGGAGTTCACGGTGACGTAACCTAACCATAAGTGGAAATTCTCCTGCAATGGGATTTCCCATGTTTATTTTTCAGGAAATAGATAGTAGGGCAGCCTAGAAAAATCAGTGCCCTGCTAACCATACCCAAGCACTCAAAATTTGTTGGTGGTGTCCATTTTGCTCTATGAGTATATGGTGTCCTAAACCTAACCTAAGTGGAATTTTCCTCCAATGGGATTTTCCCATGTATTTTACAAGGAAACATACATAGGGTAGCCTAGAAAAGTCAGTGCACTCCTAACCATACCCAAGCACTCCGAGTTTGTTGGCGATGTCCATTTTGCTCTAGGAGTTCACGATGATGTAACCCTAACCCTAACTGGAATTTTCCTGCAATGGGATTTTCCCATGTATGTTACCAGGAAAAATAGATAGGGCAGCCTAGAAAAGTCAGGCCTCCTAACATACCAAGGCCACTCCGAGTTGTTGGCGATGTCCATTTTGCTCTAGGAGTTCACGGTGACGTAACCCTAACATAACTGGAATTTTCCTCAGGATTTTCCCATGTATTTTACCAGGAAACATAGAAAGGGCAGCCTATAAAAGTCAGTGCCCTCCTAACCCTACCCAAGCACTCTGAGTTGTTGGCGATGTCCATTTTGCTCTAGGAGTTCATGGTGATGTAACCCTAACCCTAAGTGGAATTTTTCTCCAATGTGATTTTCCCATGTATTTTCCCAGGAAACATAGATAGGGGAGGCTAGAAAATTCAATGTCCTCCTAACCATAACCAAGCACTCCAAGTTGGTTGGTAGCGATGGCAAAATTTTGCTATAGG